TAAACAAGTAAGAAGGCAAAGAGCTACGAACCCGACGGGCTAAGGAAAGAGACAGCAGATCAGAGACTAGAGAAAGAGGAGCCAAACACGGAAAGCACCGGCACGGCAACAGCACAACACCGTGCGCATGGAGTAATAAACTGCGAGAGCAGAAGGCGGACCGCAAAGTCACCGAGAAGCACGAATCGAAGATTAGCAAAGCAAGATGCGAGGAGAGGCTAGCCTAGAGCGAGAAGAGAACGCCTAGACGGAAGTTAAGGACGAAAACGAGCTGCTAATTCGCAACGAGTAAGCAGGGAGGGAAGTGGAAGAAGCGGCGAGGAGAGGAAACCGAAAAAAATCTAGAGCCGGCGGAAATGCAAGAGCCGCGCAGCTCGCCAAGAGAACAGCGCATCAAAAACACCAATTGAATCCGCGAGCCTAACGAACTCACTCTCAGTTTGTAAGCCACCCCGCCAAAGTGATTCCTCTTCCTCATATCCATCCTCTGTTCCCTATATCCACAGCTGCCCAGGCAGCTTTGCTGGCACTCTGCCCATGGGGACTCTGAGCTCAAAGTGGCTCTCGCCTGTGCAGCTTTCTCCATACCTAGCGGCACCCCGCAGGTCTGGCCTTCTCTAGGGACCCTGTTCATTCATTCAGTCACCACAACCATGCAAGTCCAACCATGAGTCAGCCCAGCTCATTACCATCCTCACTTGAGAGGGGCTCGTTCTCACCTCTAGTCAGTAAAGTTTTTTGGGTTTCTTCCTAGTGCCTCAGTGGAAGGAGCCCTCTCCCCTGATGGGACTGTGCTGGCTACTGCGAGCCATGATGGCTATGTCAAGTTCTGGCAGATCTACATTGAGGGACAAGATGAGCCAAGGTAAGGCAGGGCCTGAGGGACCAGGATCCCCCTCAGGTAGCAGACCAGACTGCTTACTTACGCCCCTCATCTGCCTACCTACAGGTGTCTGCATGAGTGGAAGCCTCATGATGGGCGGCCCCTCTCCTGCCTTCTGTTCTGTGACAACCATAAGAAACAAGACCCCGAGTGAGTGAGTGGGCAGCCAAGTGGGTGGTGGGCTGGCTGGTCCATGGCTCCCAGCAGGGGCCCAGCCAGCCACTCAGTGCCTTTTTGTCTTGCAGTGTCCCTTTCTGGAGGTTCCTTATTACTGGTGCTGACCAGAACCGGGAGCTAAAGATGTGGTGCACAGTGTCCTGGACCTGCCTGCAGACTATTCGGTTAGCAAGGACTGGGAGGCTGGGGACTGGGCAGGGGCAGCAGGATTGGGAATATGGGTTCCTGGAGTCCTTAGCCTCATTCACTCTGCTTTGTGGCTCCCTAGCTTCTCCCCAGATATCTTTAGCTCAGTGAGTGTGCCCCTAGCCTCAAGGTTTGCTTGGATCTCTCAGCAGAATATCTGATTCTCAGTGACGTGCAACGGAAGGTAGGCTACCATGGGGTACCCTGGGCAGAGCTGGGAATATAGGGGATGGCGGAGGGCAGGGGGTACATCCGCAGCCCTTAGCCTCTCAGTTAGGAACATGCTGCCTATGCAGGTCCTCTATGTGATGGAGCTGCTACAGAACCAGGAGGAGGGCCGTGCCTACTTCAGCTCCATCTCGGAGTTCCTGCTCACCCACCCTGTGCTAAGCTTGGTATCCAGGTTGTGAGTCGTTGCCGGCTGCGGCACACTGAGGTGCTGCCCGCTGAGGAGGAGAATGACAGCCTGGGTGCTGGTAAGCTGCCTCAGGGTCAGAGCTATGTGTCCATATCCTAGGGGGTTGTGGAGGCAGAGAGAGGCCCAGGGGCTTAATCATCCACAATGTTCTTTCAGATGGTACCCATGGAGCCGGTGCCATGGAGTCTGCAGCTGGTGTGCTCATCAAGCTCTTTTGTGTGCATACTAAGTAAGTATTTGGGGAGGCCCACCAGTGCCTTATCTCTGTCTGTCTCCACTCTACTGACCCCTGGCCCTTGGAGCACTCTATTCTCCTTCTCTTCCTGCAGGGCACTGCAAGATGTGCAGATTCGCTTCCAGCCACAGCTGAACCCTGATGTAGTCGCCCCACTCCCCACGCACACTGCCCACGAGGACTTTAGTGAGTAGGGAGAGAGAGGGAGGTAGGGTAAGTTGGACTGACCAGGGTCTGAGATCTGACTCAAGTGGCAACTTGCCCTGCAGCATTTGGAGAGTCTCGGCCTGAACTGGGCTCTGAGGCCTGGGGTCAGCCGCTCACGGCTCCCAGCCTGACCTCCGACGAATCGTGGAGCTGCCTGCACCTGCCGACTTCCTCAGTCTAAGTAGTGAGACCAAGCCCAAGTTGATGACACCTGATGCCTTCATGACACCTAGCGCCTCTCTGCAGCAGGTACTCTCCCAGGGTAGGGGGAATTGGGAATGCCCCAGCCACAGGCCACAGCTCTCATTCCCTGCATCTCCCCAGATCACATGCCTCTCCCAGCAGCAGCAGCAGTGGTAGCAGCAGCAGCAGCAGCAGTAGCAGCAGCTCCCTTACAGCTGTGTCTGCCATGAGCAGCACCTCAGCTGTGGACCCCTCCTTGGCCAGGTGAGGCAAGGGTCAGAGATGGAGAATGGCAGGGGCTGGTGCCAGGTGACGCCAAGCTCTGGCTGCTGACACCTCAGTCTTCCTCCACCAGGCCATCTGAGGAGCTGACCTTGAGCCCCAAGCTGCAGCTGGATGGCAGCCTGGCAATGAGCAGCAGTGGCAGCCTGCAGGCAAGCCCGCGTGGCCTCCTGCCCAGCCTGCTCCCAGCCCCAGCTGACAAACTGACTCCCAAGGGGCCGAGCCAGGTATATGAATGGGTGTGTGTGAGGTATGGGCAGCAGATGGGTGGCAGCAGGAAAAGTGGGTGGTGGGCTTCTCCCAGCCCCCTGCTGCTGGTCCTGCTCTTCCCTACGTAGTCCATGTTTACCTGAGGTCATCTCACCCTCCTGTGTTGCCTGGAATGTTTCTCTTCAGCTCCCTGTCTCCACTTCCTCTTCTGGGCTATGGCCCCGTTTTTGACTATCCCCACTTCCCTGCTTCCCTGTCTCTCATTACTACTAATACTAGTGCCTCGTCTCTGTGTCCCCCATCCCTGCCTCACCTGTCACTTAAGCCCCCATCTTTGGCCCACCTTAGGTGCCTACTGCTGCCTCTGCACTTTCCTTGGAGCTGCAGGAAGTGGAGCCCTGGGGCTACCCCAAGCCTCCCCGAGCCGTACCCGCTCTCCTGATGTCATCTCCTCAGCTTCCACTGCCCTGTCCCAGGACATCCCTGAGATTGCGTCTGAGGCCCTGTCCCGTGGCTTTGGCTCCTCTGCATCAGAGGGCCTTGAGCCAGACAGTATGGCTTCAGCTGCCTCAGCATTGCACCTACTGTCCCCACGGCCCCGGCCAGGGCCCGAGCTCGGCCCCCAGCTTGGCCTCGATGGAGGCCCTGGGGATGGAGATCGGCATAATACCCCCTCCCTCTTGGAGGCAGCCTTGACCCAGGAGGCCTCAACCCCTGACGGTCAGGTTTGGCCCACAGCACCTGACATTACTCGTGAGACCTGCAGCACTCTTGCAGAAAGGTGAGGAGCTTGGGAGGAGAAAAGTGTGCTAGCTAGGAGGAGGCTTTAGGAGGGGCTTCAGATAGAATCATCCACTGCTGAGTCAGCCTGTCCTCTAGCCCCAGGAATGGCCTTCAGGAAAAGCACAAGAGCCTGGCCTTCCACCGACCACCATATCACCTGCTGCAGCAACGTGACAGCCAGGATGCCAGTGCTGAGCAAAGGTGGATGCCACCCTGTGCCATTGCCCTCATGGTGGGGGTGAGCAGCAAGTGGGTAGGGGCTTACCCCTCCTTCCCCTTCCCATAGTGATCACGATGATGAAGTGGCCAGCCTTGCCTCTGCTTCAGGAAGCTTTGGCACCAAAGTTCCTGCTCCACGGCTGCCTGCCAAGGACTGGAAGACCAAGGGATCCCCTCGAGCCTCACCCAAGCTCAAGAGGAAAAGCAAGAAGGATGATGGGTAGGGAGGAGTCCTAGGGATAGGGGAGGGTGATCTCCAGGTTGCCTGACGTAGCCTGAGGTGCTTCTCGCCTATGGCAGGGATGCGGCCATGGGATCCCGGCTCACAGAGCACCAGGTAAGTGAATGAGCGCACTTTGTACTCATGGGAATTTCACCCTGTGAGGATGGGGAAGGACTCTGGGCCATTCCCAGTCTGGTTTGTGGGGATGGGTGGGGTAGGCATCATGTAACTCTCAGTGCTACTGGCAGGTGGCAGAGCCCCCTGAGGACTGGCCAACGCTAATTTGGCAACAGCAGAGAGAGCTGGCAGAGCTGCAGCACAGCCAAGAAGAGCTGCTGCAGCGTCTGTGTACCCAGCTCGAAGGTCTACAGAACACCGTCACAGGCCACGTAGAACGTGCCCTTGAGACTCGGCATGAGCAGGAGCGTATCCTTGAGGCTGGTAGCACAATATGGCATAGGGATGGGGGCAGCATTCTTGGCCTGGGAAGGAGTACACAACCTGCTCCAGGCCTGTTCCTTAGCTATGGCGCAGAGCGGCGGCTGGAGCGAGCACTGGCTGAGGGGCAGCAGCGGGGAGGGCAGCTGCAGGAGCAGCTGACACAACAGTTGTCCCAGGCACTGTCTTCAGCTGTAGCTGGGCGGCTGGAACGCAGCTTACGGGATGAGATCAAGAAGACAGTCCCTCCATGTGAGTTTTGCATACTGACTCCCTTTGGGTGGTTCAGGTGGGAGTAGAGGTACCTGTCAAGTTACTCCTGGCTCCACCTTCTCCTGTTCCACTCTCCCAGGTGTCTCAAGGAGTCTGGAGCCTGTTGCAGGCCAACTGAGCAACTCTGTAGCCACCAAGCTCACAGCTGTGGAGGGCAGCATGAAAGAGAACATCTCTAAACTGCTCAAGTCCAAGGTGCTATAGGGCCCAAGATGTGGGTGGAGGTGGTGGTTCTGGCCTAGTCAGGCCAGGCTGTGCTCAGGCTTTCAACTTGGCCCCTCCCTCTAATTCCAGAACTTGACTGATGCTATTGCCCGAGCAGCTGCAGACACATTACAGGGGCCGATGCAGGCTGCCTACCGAGAAGCCTTCCAGAGTGTGGTGCTGCCAGCCTTTGAGAAGAGCTGCCAGGCCATGTTCCAGCAAATCAATGATAGCTTCCGGGTGGGGACACAGGAATGTGAGTGGGGTCATATGGCCCAAGGTGGGAACGACTATCCTCTGCTTTCCTACTGTTCCTCTTACACTCCCTGTGGTCACCCCTCAGACTTGCAGCAGCTAGAAAGCCACATGAAGAGCCGGAAGGCACGGGAACAGGAGGCCAGGGAGCCTGTGCTGGCCCAGCTGCGGGGCCTGGTCAGCACACTGCAGAGTGCCACTGAGCAGATGGCAGCCACTGTTGCCAGCAGTGTTCGGGCTGAGGTGCAGCACCAGCTGCACGTGGCTGTGGGCAGGTGTGTGGGCAGAGTGGTGGGTTTGAGGAAGGCCAGACTGGGCTCCCTGTCCACTTCACCTCACTCACTTACCTTTGCAGCTTGCAGGAGTCCATTTTAGCACAGGTACAACGCATTGTTAAGGGTGAGGTGAGTGTGGCGCTCAAGGAGCAGCAGGCCGCTGTCACCTCCAGCATCATGCAGGCCATGCGTTCAGCTGCTGGCACACCTGTCCCCTCTGCCCACCTTGACTGCCAGGCCCAGCAAGCCCATATCCTCCAGCTGCTGCAGCAGGGCCACCTCAATCAGGCCTTCCAGCAGGTATGATAGGTGTTAGGCCCTGGTAAGGGTCATGTGTCTCTTGACAAGGCGCACACATCATACATTGCACTCCACCCATCAGGCTTTCTACCTTCTGGCCCCAGCAGGGTGTTCTTGGTTCCCTTTGGCCTCCAGGCCATTGTCCCTGCTGCTTCCTTTTCCTGGACCCCTTTCTTCCCACCTAGCCCACCTTGCTTTACAACTACTCTTCTCAGGAACCATTTCTTGATACCCTAGGGTAACTACATGGCCCTACAGGGCTCTCTCTGGGCCCCTCTGGAGCTCTCCCTAGCCCACCCTGTGGTCATCTGCCCCCAGGCCACACAGTTCAGACGAGCAGACATTCCATCCTGATGTTCATTATGAATGCTGCTGCTTTTTTCTCCTCCAGGCCCTAACAGCTGCTGACCTGAGCCTAGTGCTGTATGTGTGTGAAACTGTGGACCCAGCCCAGGTTTTTGGGCAGCCACCCTGCCCACTCTCCCAGCCTGTGCTCCTTTCCCTCATTCAGCAGCTGGCATCTGACCTTGGCACTCGAACTGACCTCAAGCTCAGGTAAGTGTGGGCAATCAGGGGCAGGGAGATGAGCTGCGGAGTGGGATCGTGGGAGGGAGCAGTTTGAAGCTGACGCCCACTTCTGCCTGAATCTCCTCCCTAATTTTCTTCACCAATCCCCTCTGCTCTCACCCCAGGGGTTCCCTCTGGGCATCAGTGCCACCAGGGGGCGCTCCCATCTGCTGGTACCCACCTGTAGCCTGTTCTTTCCCCACTATCCCCAGCTACCTGGAAGAGGCCGTGATGCACCTGGACCACAGTGACCCCATCACTCGGGACCACATGGGCTCTGTTATGGCCCAGGTGCGCCAAAAGCTTTTTCAGTTCCTGCAGGCTGAGCCACACAACTCACTTGGCAAGGCAGCCCGGCGTCTCAGCCTCATGCTGCATGGCCTTGTGACCCCTAGCCTCCCTTAGCTGCTAAGCCTGCCTTGCCCAGGGGTGGGATGGCACTGAAGGCCAGCAAACAGGCCTAGGTTGAGGCAGAGTCATGGCTGGCTTTTACTTGTTCAGGCCCCCATCTCTGGGGTGTTTGGGGGTTGGGGAGCAGGGAGCACTGGCTGTGGTCTACAGGGTGTGGTAGTCAGCAGGTTTAGGCTGGGCCCAGGGCAGGTATTGAGCCTTCTTGGGTTCTGCCATTGCCTGGAGCATGACCCCGAGATCGTGACACCACTTGAGTGGAATTTTCCATGTTCCTTTTTACCTCTGATTTGGATCTTTTTGTTTTTGAAAAACATTGAGAAATTCAATTAAATATGCTTTTGGAATAAAATGAAGTATGTGTGTGCTTTTGTTCTGTCTTCAGTATGACTCTCATAACTGCCCTCTGTCCCCTGCCCTTCTCTTCCCCATGGAGCTCTGTATAGGCCAATCCAGCCAAAGGGCTGGATTACATACTCATCTACTCCAGCTGTCTTCCCAGATTTACCTTCTCCTTCCTTCTATGGGGTGAGGGTCCAGAGGCCTGCTCAGCACCATCCTGTGCCCCTCGGAATTTCTGTTCTCTGAGGTCCCTTCGCTCCTTTACTAATCTGGGTATTGGAGGCGGAGCCGCCGGCTGGCTTCGGAGCCCCACCCCCGGCTCCCATCCAATCACCATCCCTTCCTCCGGGGGCTGGGTGGACAGGCTGTACTCCTAGCAGCTAGCTCCTGCACTAGGCTCTCAGCCAGGGATGATGCCCCGCTGCCGCCGCTGCCAACAACCACCCCGTGCCCTGAGGCCGCTGCTGTTGCTGCCCCTCGGTGAGTGTGGGCGTCCGGGGCTCAGGCCACACTTCCTCTCGCCCAGCCAGGCCAGGCCAGGTATAGGGTGTGTGGGAACGCTGGGCGCCAGGGTGGAGAAGAGTTGCAAGGGCTCCAGGAGGGTGTGCTGGTGACTTCAGGACAGAAAGTCAGAGGCACGAACAGCTCCAGTTATGGGAGAAGGACTCCAAAATTTGCATCCCCTCTTCTGATAAAGGGAGCCATGCCAATGGCAGGACTTACTGACCAGCCCTAGGATCCTTAAGTCCTTTCTGAGGGTCTGGCCTGGATCCCAATACCTCTTCATCCTGCCCTGTCTCTCCAAAAAATACTTATCTTTGGAGAGAGTTTGCAGGGCCAAGCAAAGCTTGTCTAAACTGCAGAGAGATATACCTGTTCCTGGTCCTGGTCCTCCGAATCCCCCTCCCCTCCACCCTGTCTTAACTCCTTCACGTGGACACTTCTCACCTCACCTGGGGCCCCAGAAGCTCAGAGGAAGAGCTGACTTGGGGGACACAACACTCCCTCCCCCTGTACAAATCCCAGTCCGGTTCCTAACCTTGAAGAGGGCCTAGGTAGGTAATCTCCAGACTTGCCCTTTAGTTCCCTGGGGCACCCTTTTCCCGCTGAGTCACATCCCCAGAGTGCTCCCAGGTAAACAAGCCCCTGGGGGCTGGGGGATGGGCCTGGCTCATCCTATCTACTGGTCTACTCCCTCACCCCACCCCTGCCCCACTTCTAGTCCTTGTACCTCGCCTGGCAGCAGCTGCAGCAGGCCCAAACCGCTGTGACACCATATACCAGGGCTTTGCCGAGTGTCTCATCCGCCTGGGGGATGGCATGGGCCGAGGAGGCGAGCTGGAGACCATCTGCAGGTACTGGCGGGTGCAAGGCAGTGGCCCAACCTGTGCCATCATCGGGGACTGACCTTTTATTTCCCAAGCCAGAGTCTCCTTGCCTTACCTAATCCCCCTAATCCCACTCCCTTAACAGGTCTTGGAATGACTTCCATGCCTGTGCCTCTCAGGTCCTGTCAGGCTGTCCGGAAGAGGCAGCTGCAGTGTGGGAGTCACTACAGCAAGAAGCTCGCCGGGCCCCCCACCCGAATAACTTGCACATGCTGTGCGGCACCCCAGTGCATGTTCAGGAGCACAGCACAGGCTCCGAAACCAACCAGGAGACACTGAGGGCAACAGCGCCTGCACTCCCTATGGCCCCTGCACACCTGTTGCTGGTGGCTGCTCTGGCCCTGGCCTACCTCCTGGGGCTTCTGTCCTAGCCTGTCGGGTAAGGTGGCAGTGGCCAGGCCTCCAGCCCTGCTCTGGAGGTGGTTTTCCAGGCTCTGCAGAGCGCAGCAGGGCTTTTCATTAAAGGTATTTATATTTGTACTAAGCTCCTTCCTTTCTCCCAGCTGCGGCCTTGCTTGGCTGGGGCTGGAGACTCCCAGAAACTGATCCTTAGCTTGGATGGGATGGGCGGGGCTGAGGGTCACCACAGGGGACTCAATCTTCTTACAAACACTCATTTCCCAGTGGCAGCCCAAAGCTTTCCATTTCGTGCAGGTCCCAAGAGCTCCTTCAGTGGAGACTGGAGATCTGCCAGAATGCATAGTCTTCCTCTACCATCCTGTGCTGGGTGGGGTTGGGAGAGTGGGGTCTCAGCCCTGCACTCCTAGCACTGCCTACCCCTCTATCCTGGCCCCTGGGGGCCAGATCCAAGGGGTTGAGTACCCTTGATCCCAGCTCTACCGCCTCCCCAGCCTCCTGCTCCTGACCATCTCGCCTCCTCCTCCCTCTGCCTGTCACTTCAGCCTTCAAGGGACAGCACAGACTATGTGCTCAGTCCCTTCCTCTGGGTTTCTGGTCTATCTAAGGAAGGCCTGTTCTAGAAGGTGGGGAGCCTCTGTTGAAGTCCACATTCAAGCCCCTGATGTGACCTGAAGTGGCAAAAACTGGAGTTACCATAAGGGTTCCTCTGGCCTCTGCTCTCCATAAGCTTGTTCCTTGAGAAGACTGCAGTGTGCAGTCAAAACAATCACAGAAGGCTTTCTGGAAGCCATGTAATGAGAACATGTGGTGTGTTAGGAGCCCCTCTTCATACAGGTGGAAAGGAAGAGCAAAATCAGCATAGGCAGAATCCGAGGAAGGAGGCCTTTTAGGGGTGGGGCCCTCTTCTGATCAGCCTTCTCCCACCACTCCAGGATCCTATTCCAAACCATCACCCATGGTTTCAGCGACACTGTCTTAGTCTCCTCACTGACTTCTATTATCGCTCCCTCCGCTTTATTCTGAGATGGAGTCTCATTCTTGTCGGCCAGGCTGGAATGCAGTGGTGTCATCTTGGCTCACTGCAACCTCCACCTCCCGGGTTCAAGCAATTTTCCTGCCTCAGCCTCCCTAGTAGCTGGGATTACAGGTGCCTGCCATGACGCCTGGCTAATTTTGTATTTTAGTAGAGACAGGTTTTTCCATATTGGCCAAGCTGGTCTCGAACTCCTGACCTCAGGTGATCCAACCCCTTTGCCCTCCCAAAGTGATAGGATTGCAGGCTTGAGCCACCATGTTTGGCCTTATTCCTTACTTTCTAAATTGAAAAATCAGCCAGGCACTGTGGCTCATGCTTGCAGTGTCACCTCCTCCAGGAACTATTACTTAACCCTGACTACAAGCTGAATCAGAAGCCTCCTCTAGGTCTACACAGTTCCTGGATTCTCTTCTGCCTCAGTACTGATAGCACTAGCTTGTTATTGTCTAGTTACAGGTCAGAATTCCCCACTGTGGACTCCCCAAGGGCAGGAAGTCCTTTTTGTCAGAATCCTCATTGTGTCTCTAGCATCCAGCCTAGGGCTGGATATAAAGGGTGCACTTGTGGGAGGGTGTGGAATGAAAGTCCAGCAGGGGTAGTTGGACTGGGAATGACCCAGTGTGGAGGTGTGTCATCTTTGGGTGGCACCTTCACCCTGGGCATACTGCTGGGAAGATGGTGCTGGGGCTGTATACCCCAGAAGTCTTCCAGAGCTGGTATTGGGTGGCCAGGAGCAGGGGCCTGGCTGTTCTGGCCAACCATCAGGGAGATTACCATCCTCCTGCTGTGACCTACTTTTCCCCTGGTTTTTGCTCCCTAAGGCCCTACTCTTCTATGGAATAGAGGGGGGCTTAGGGAGGGGGAAAAGAATCTGCTCTCTGGCCAGGGGCTTAAGGGCTTTGTGCGTTTTATCCTAGAGCTGGGGGAGAGGGGTGGGCTGATAGCCAAGCTAGCTGGGCCATGGGCACAGCTGCCCAGGCCAGAGTATCATAGTGATGGTGTTTCTCACACTTGCAGCACTGTGGACAAATAGTAGCTTATTGTTCTGAGAGAACCTGGGGGATGGATGTCCTGGGCCCAGTCCCCACTCCATTCATGTATCTCTTCACCTCAGGGCCTCCCTCTTGCTCTTCTCCAGAGCCCAGACCAGCACCTGAACATAGTAAGGGTTCAATAAATATTTGTTATGTAGCTGAATGTCTGTAAAATAGGAATGTTGTGTGGATTTCTGAGTGCCATCAACCCTGGAATTCACATTACTTTTAACCTTCACAACTCTTTTGAGACAGAGTCTCGCTTCTTCGCCAGGCGCCAGGCTGGAGTGCAGTGGCACGATCTTGGCTCACTGCAACCTCTGCCTCCTGGGTTCAAGCAATTCTCCTGCCTCAGCCTCCAGAGTAGCTGGGACTACAGGCACGCGCCACCACACCCAGCTAATTTTTGTATTTTTAGCAGAGACGGTGTTTCACAATGTTGCCTAGGGTTTTCTCAATCTCTTGACCTCGTGATCCACCCACCTCGGCCTCCCAAAGTGCTGAGATTACAGGCATGAGCCACCGTGCCTGGCAAACTTTCACAACTCTTTAAGGTCAAGATTGCGACCCTCCTCCTTATATTTTATTTAATGAGACGGAGTTTCGCTCTTGTTACCCAGGCTGGATCTTGGCTCATGGCAACCTCCGCCTCCTGGGTTCAGGCAATTCTCCTGCCTCAGCCTCCTGAGTAGCTGGGATTATAGGCACGTGCCACCATGCCCAGCTAATTTTTTGTATTTTTAGTAGAGACGGGGTTTCACCATGTTGACCAGGATGGTCTCGATCTCTCGACCTCGTGATCCACCCGCCTCGGCCTCCCAAAGTGCTGGGATTACAAGCTTGAGCCACCGCGCCCGGCCTATTTTATTTAATTTTTTGAGACAAAGTTTCATTCTATCACTCAGGCTGGGGTACAGTAACCCAATCCAGGTTCACTGCAGCCTTGACCGCCTGGGGTCAAGTGATTCTCTAGCCTCAGCCCCTTGTGCAGCTAGGGCTGTAGGTGTGTGCCACCATGCCCAGCTAATTTTATTTTATATTTTTGCAGACACAGGGTCTCATTATGTCACCCAGGCAGGTCTCGAACTCTTGGCCTCAAGCAATCCTCCTGCATCAGCCTCCCAAAGTGTTGAGGTTACAAGCATTGGGCCATCCTCATTATATAGGCAGGAAAAATGAGGCTTAGGGCCCCGTGCAGTGATCCATGCCTGTAATCCCAACACCTTGGGGAGGCTTAGGTAGGAGGATCACTTGAGGCCGTGTCTAAATAAATAAATAAACAGGCTGGGCACAGTGTTATCCCAGTGTAATGTCACTCACAGCACTTTGGGAGGCTGAGGTGGGCAGATTACCTGAGGTCAGGAGTTTGAGACCAGCCTGACCAACATGGAGAAACCCTGTCTCTACTAAAAATACAAAATTAGCCGGGCATGGTGGTGCATACCTGTAATCCCAGCTACTCAGGAGGCCGAGGCCAGAGAATCGCCTGAATCTGGGAGGTGGAGGTTGTGATGAGCTGAGATCGCACCATTGCACTCCAGCCTGGGCAACAAGAGTGAAACTCTGTCTCAAAAAAATAAAAATAGGACCAGGCGCGGTGGTTCACGCCTGTAATCCTAGCACTGTGGGAGGCCGAGGCAAGTGAATCACGAGGTCAGGAGATTGAGACCATCCTGGTCATGGTGAAACCCTGTCTCTATCAAAATACAAAAAATTAGCTGGGCATGGTGGCCCCGCCTGTAGTCCCAGCTACTCAGGAGGCTGAGGCAAGGGAATCACTTGAACCTGTGAGATGGAGGTTGCAGTAAACCGAGATCGTGTCACTGCACTCCAGCCTGGTGACAAAGCAAGACTCTTGTCTCAAAACTAAATAAAAATAAAAAATAAATAAGTCAGGCTTGGTGGTATGTGCCTGTAGACTCAGCTGTTTGGGAGGCTGAGGCAGGAGGATCCTTTGAGCCTAGGAGTTTGAGGTTACAATGAGCTTTGATCTCCAGCCTGGACGACAGAGCAAGACCCTGTCTCTATTAAAAGGCCAGGCACAGTGGCTCATGCCTGTAATCCCAGCACTTTGGGAGACCGAGGCCACCGGATCACCTGAGGTCAGGAGTTCAAGACCAGCCTGGCCAAGGCTGATGAGGCGGATGTCTTTCTTAAACAGCTATGGAGGTGTCAGAACCGGGGTTTGATTTTAGGTATGTTTGGCCCCAAAGTCTATACCCTTAATTATCACACTAGACTTTTGGAAACAATTTTTTTAATTTTTTTTTTTTTTTAAACACTAAGATCCTAGGAAACAACTTTTCTTTTTAGGCAGAGTTTTGCTCTTGTCACCCAGGCTGGAGTACAGTGGCGATCTCGGCTCACTGCAACCTCTGCCTCCCTGGTTCAAGCTATTCTCCTCTCTTAGCCTCCAGAGTAGCTGGGACTACAGGCGCCTGCCACCATACCCAGCTAATTCTAATTTTTGTATTTTTAGTAGAGACGGGGTTTCACCTTGTTGGTCAGGCTGCTCTTGAATTCCTGACCTCAGGTGATCCACCCACCTTGGCCTCCCAAAGTGCTGGGATTACAGGCATGAGCCACTGTGCTGGGCTGACGACAATGCATTGTCGTCAGCCCAGCACAGTGGCTCATGCCTGTAATCCCAGCACTTTGGGAGGCCAAGGTGGGTGGATCACCTGAGGTCAGGAATTCAAGAGCAGCCTGACCAACAAGGTGAAACCCCGTCTCTACTAAAAATACAAAAATTAGAATTAGCTGGGTATGGTGGCAGGCGCCTGTAGTCCCAGCTACTCTGGAGGCTAAGAGAGGAGAATAGCTTGAACCAGGGAGGCAGAGGTTGCAGTGAGCCGAGATCGCCACTGTACTCCAGCCTGGGTGACAAGAGCAAAACTCTGCCTAAAAAGAAAAGTTGTTTCCTAGGATCTTAGTGTTTAAAAAAAAAAAAAAATTAAAAAAATTGTTTCCAAAAGTCTAGTGTGATAATTAAGGGTATAGACTTTGGGGCCAAACATACCTAAAATCAAACCCCGGTTCTGACACCTCCATAGCTGTTTAAGAAAGACATCCGCCTCATCAGCCTTGGCCAGGCTGGTCTTGAACTCCTGACCTCAGGTGATCCGGTGGCCTCGGTCTCCCAAAGTGCTGGGATTACAGGCATGAGCCACTGTGCCTGGCCTTTTAATAGAGACAGGGTCTTGCTCTGTCGTCCAGGCTGGAGATCAAAGCTCATTGTAACCTCAAACTCCTAGGCTCAAAGGATCCTCCTGCCTCAGCCTCCCAAACAGCTGAGTCTACAGGCACATACCACCAAGCCTGACTTATTTATTTTTTATTTTTATTTAGTTTTGAGACAAGAGTCTTGCTTTGTCACCAGGCTGGAGTGCAGTGACACGATCTCGGTTTACTGCAACCTCCATCTCACAGGTTCAAGTGATTCCCTTGCCTCAGCCTCCTGAGTAGCTGGGACTACAGGCGGGGCCACCATGCCCAGCTAATTTTTTGTATTTTGATAGAGACAGGGTTTCACCATGACCAGGATGGTCTCAATCTCCTGACCTCGTGATTCACTTGCCTCGGCCTCCCACAGTGCTAGGATTACAGGCGTGAACCACCGCGCCTGGTCCTATTTTTATTTTTTTGAGACAGAGTTTCACTCTTGTTGCCCAGGCTGGAGTGCAATGGTGCGATCTCAGCTCATCACAACCTCCACCTCCCAGATTCAGGCGATTCTCTGGCCTCGGCCTCCTGAGTAGCTGGGATTACAGGTATGCACCACCATGCCCGGCTAATTTTGTATTTTTAGTAGAGACAGGGTTTCTCCATGTTGGTCAGGCTGGTCTCAAACTCCTGACCTCAGGTAATCTGCCCACCTCAGCCTCCCAAAGTGCTGTGAGTGACATTACACTGGGATAACACTGTGCCCAGCCTGTTTATTTATTTATTTAGACACGGCCTCAAGTGATCCTCCTACCTAAGCCTCCCCAAGGTGTTGGGATTACAGGCATGGATCACTGCACGGGGCCCTAAGCCTCATTTTTCCTGCCTATATAATGAGGATGGCCCAATGCTTGTAACCTCAACACTTTGGGAGGCTGATGCAGGAGGATTGCTTGAGGCCAAGAGTTCGAGACCTGCCTGGGTGACATAATGAGACCCTGTGTCTGCAAAAATATAAAATAAAATTAGCTGGGCATGGTGGCACACACCTACAGCCCTAGCTGCACAAGGGGCTGAGGCTAGAGAATCACTTGACCCCAGGCGGTCAAGGCTGCAGTGAACCTGGATTGGGTTACTGTACCCCAGCCTGAGTGATAGAATGAAACTTTGTCTCAAAAAATTAAATAAAATAGGCCGGGCGCGGTGGCTCAAGCTTGTAATCCCAGCACTTTGGGAGGCCGAGGCGGGTGGATCACGAGGTCGAGAGATCGAGACCATCCTGGTCAACATGGTGAAACCCCGTCTCTACTAAAAATACAAAAAATTAGCTGGGCATGGTGGCACGTGCCTATAATCCCAGCTACTCAGGAGGCTGAGGCAGGAGAATTGCCTGAACCCAGGAGGCGGAGGTTGCCATGAGCCAAGATCCAGCCTGGGTAACAAGAGCGAAACTCCGTCTCATTAAATAAAATATAAGGAGGAGGGTCGCAATCTTGACCTTAAAGAGTTGTGAAAGTTTGCCAGGCACGGTGGCTCATGCCTGTAATCTCAGCACTTTGGGAGGCCGAGGTGGGTGGATCACGAGGTCAAGAGATTGAGAAAACCCTAGGCAACATTGTGAAACACCGTCTCTGCTAAAAATACAAAAATTAGCTGGGTGTGGTGGCGCGTGCCTGTAGTCCCAGCTACTCTGGAGGCTGAGGCAGGAGAATTGCTTGAACCCAGGAGGCAGAGGTTGCAGTGAGCCAAGATCGTGCCACTGCACTCCAGCCTGGCGCCTGGCGAAGAAGCGAGACTCTGTCTCAAAAGAGTTGTGAAGGTTAAAAGTAATGTGAATTCCAGGGTTGATGGCACTCAGAAATCCACACAACATTCCTATTTTACAGACATTCAGCTACATAACAAATATTTATTGAACCCTTACTATGTTCAGGTGCTGGTCTGGGCTCTGGAGAAGAGCAAGAGGGAGGCCCTGAGGTGAAGAGATACATGAATGGAGTGGGGACTGGGCCCAGGACATCCATCCCCCAGGTTCTCTCAGAACAATAAGCTACTATTTGTCCACAGTGCTGCAAGTGTGAGAAACACCATCACTATGATACTCTGGCCTGGGCAGCTGTGCCCATGGCCCAGCTAGCTTGGCTATCAGCCCACCCCTCTCCCCCAGCTCTAGGATAAAACGCACAAAGCCCTTAAGCCCCTGGCCAGAGAGCAGATTCTTTTCCCCCTCCCTAAGCCCCCCTCTATTCCATAGAAGAGTAGGGCCTTAGGGAGCAAAAACCAGGGGAAAAGTAGGTCACAGCAGGAGGATGGTAATCTCCCTGATGGTTGGCCAGAACAGCCAGGCCCCTGCTCCTGGCCACCCAATACCAGCTCTGGAAGACTTCTGGGGTATACAGCCCCAGCACCATCTTCCCAGCAGTATGCCCAGGGTGAAGGTGCCACCCAAAGATGACACACCTCCACACTGGGTCATTCCCAGTCCAACTACCCCTGCTGGACTTTCATTCCACACCCTCCCACAAGTGCACCCTTTATATCCAGCCCTAGGCTGGATGCTAGAGACACAATGAGGATTCTGACAAAAAGGACTTCCTGCCCTTGGGGAGTCCACAGTGGGGAATTCTGACCTGTAACTAGACAATAACAAGCTAGTGCTATCAGTACTGAGGCAGAAGAGAATCCAGGAACTGTGTAGACCTAGAGGAGGCTTCTGATTCAGCTTGTAGTCAGGGTTAAGTAATAGTTCCTGGAGGAGGTGACACTGCAAGCATGAGCCACAGTGCCTGGCTGATTTTTCAATTTAGAAAGTAAGGAATAAGGCCAAACATGGTGGCTCAAGCCTGCAATCCTATCACTTTGGGAGGGCAAAGGGGTTGGATCACCTGAGGTCAGGAGTTCGAGACCAGCTTGGCCAATATGGAAAAACCTGTCTCTACTAAAAATACAAAATTAGCCAGGCGTCATGGCAGGCACCTGTAATCCCAGCTACTAGGGAGGCTGAGGCAGGAAAATTGCTTGAACCCGGGAGGTGGAGGTTGCAGTGAGCCAAGATGACACCACTGCATTCCAGCCTGGCCGACAAGAATGAGACTCCATCTCAAAAAAAAAAAAAAAGAATAAAGCGGAGGGAGCGATAATAGAAGTCAGTGAGGAGACTAAGACAGTGTCGCTGAAACCATGGGTGATGGTTTGGAATAGGATCCTGGAGTGGTGGGAGAAGGCTGATCAGAAGAGGGCCCCACCCCTAAAAGGCCTCCTTCCTCGGATTCTGCCTATGCTGATTTTGCTCTTCCTTTCCACCTGTATGAAGAGGGGCTCCTAACACACCACATGTTCTCATTACATGGCTTCCAGAAAGCCTTCTGTGATTGTTTTGACTGCACACTGCAGTCTTCTCAAGGAACAAGCTTATGGAGAGCAGAGGCCAGAGGAACCCTTATGGTAACTCCAGTTTTTGCCACTTCAGGTCACATCAGGGGCTTGAATGTGGACTTCAACAGAGGCTCCCCACCTTCTAGAACAGGCCTTCCTTAGATAGACCAGAAACCCAGAGGAAGGGACTGAGCACATAGTCTGTGCTGTCCCTTGAAGGCTGAAGTGACAGGCAGAGGGAGGAGGAGGCGAGATGGTCAGGAGCAGGAGGCTGGGGAGGCGGTAGAGCTGGGATCAAGGGTACTCAACCCCTTGGATCTGGCCCCCAGGGGCCAGGATAGAGGGGTAGGCAGTGCTAGGAGTGCAGGGCTGAGACCCCACTCTCCCAACCCCACCCAGCACAGGATGGTAGAGGAAGACTATGCATTCTGGCAGATCTCCAGTCTCCACTGAAGGAGCTCTTGGGACCTGCACGAAATGGAAAGCTTTGGGCTGCCACTGGGAAATGAGTGTTTGTAAGAAGATTGAGTCCCCTGTGGTGACCCTCAGCCCCGCCCATCCCATCCAAGCTAAGGATCAGTTTCTGGGAGTCTCCAGCCCCAGCCAAGCAAGGCCGCAGCTGGGAGAAAGGAAGGAGCTTAGTACAAATATAAATACCTTTAATGAAAAGCCCTGCTGCGCTCTGCAGAGCCTGGAAAACCACCTCCAGAGCAGGGCTGGAGGCCTGGCCACTGCCACCTTACCCGACAGGCTAGGACAGAAGCCCCAGGAGGTAGGCCAGGGCCAGAGCAGCCACCAGCAACAGGTGTGCAGGGGCCATAGGGAGTGCAGGCGCTGTTGCCCTCAGTGTCTCCTGGTTGGTTTCGGAGCCTGTGCTGTGCTCCTGAACATGCACTGGGGTGCCGCACAGCATGTGCAAGTTATTCGGGTGGGGGGCCCGGCGAGCTTCTTGCTGTAGTGACTCCCACACTGCAGCTGCCTCTTCCGGACAGCCTGACAGGACCTGAGAGGCACAGGCATGGAAGTCATTCCAAGACCTGTTAAGGGAGTGGGATTAGGGGGATTAGGTAAGGCAAGGAGACTCTGGCTTGGGAAATAAAAGGTCAGTCCCCGATGATGGCACAGGTTGGGCCACTGCCTTGCACCCGCCAGTACCTGCAGATGGTCTCCAGCTCGCCTCCTCGGCCCATGCCATCCCCCAGGCGGATGAGACACTCGGCAAAGCCCTGGTATATGGTGTCACAGCGGTTTGGGCCTGCTGCAGCTGCTGCCAGGCGAGGTACAAGGACTAGAAGTGGGGCAGGGGTGGGGTGAGGGAGTAGACCAGTAGATAGGATGAGCCAGGCCCATCCCCCAGCCCCCAGGGGCTTGTTTACCTGGGAGCACTCTGGGGATGTGACTCAGCGGGAAAAGGGTGCCCCAGGGAACTAAAGGGCAAGTCTGGAGATTACCTACCTAGGCCCTCTTCAAGGTTAGGAACCGGACTGGGATTTGTACAGGGGGAGGGAGTGTTGTGTCCCCCAAGTCAGCTCTTCCTCTGAGCTTCTGGGGCCCCAGGTGAGGTGAGAAGTGTCCACGTGAAGGAGTTAAGACAGGGTGGAGGGGAGGGGGATTCGGAGGACCAGGACCAGGAACAGGTATATCTCTCTGCAGTTTAGACAAGCTTTGCTTGGCCCTGCAAACTCTCTCCAAAGATAAGTATTTTTTGGAGAGACAGGGCAGGATGAAGAGGTATTGGGATCCAGGCCAGACCCTCAGAAAGGACTTAAGGATCCTAGGGCTGGTCAGTAAGTCCTGCCATTGGCATGGCTCCCTTTATCAGAAGAGGGGATGCAAATTTTGGAGTCCTTCTCCCATAACTGGAGCTGTTCGTGCCTCTGACTTTCTGTCCTGAAGTCACCAGCACACCCTCCTGGAGCCCTTGCAACTCTTCTCCACCCTGGCGCCCAGCGTTCCCACACACCCTATACCTGGCCTGGCCTGGCTGGGCGAGAGGAAGTGTGGCCTGAGCCCCGGACGCCCACACTCACCGAGGGGCAGCAACAGCAGCGGCCTCAGGGCACGGGGTGGTTGTTGGCAGCGGCGGCAGCGGGGCATCATCCCTGGCTGAGAGCCTAGTGCAGGAGCTAGCTGCTAGGAGTACAGCCTGTCCACCCAGCCCCCGGAGGAAGGGATGGTGATTGGATGGGAGCCGGGGGTGGGGCTCCGAAGCCAGCCGGCGGCTCCGCCTCCAATACCCAGATTAGTAAAGGAGCGAAGGGACCTCAGAGAACAGAAATTCCGAGGGGCACAGGATGGTGCTGAGCAGGCCTCTGGACCCTCACCCCATAGAAGGAAGGAGAAGGTAAATCTGGGAAGACAGCTGGAGTAGATGAGTATGTAATCCAGCCCTTTGGCTGGATTGGCCTATACAGAGCTCCATGGGGAAGAGAAGGGCAGGGGACAGAGGGCAGTTATGAGAGTCATACTGAAGACAGAACAAAAGCACACACATACTTCATTTTATTCCAAAAGCATATTTAATTGAATTTCTCAATGTTTTTCAAAAACAAAAAGATCCAAATCAGAGGTAAAAAGGAACATGGAAAATTCCACTCAAGTGGTGTCACGATCTCGGGGTCATGCTCCAGGCAATGGCAGAACCCAAGAAGGCTCAATACCTGCCCTGGGCCCAGCCTAAACCTGCTGACTACCACACCCTGTAGACCACAGCCAGTGCTCCCTGCTCCCCAACCCCCAACACCCCAGAGATGGGGGGCCTGAACAAGTAAAAGCCCAGCCATGACTCTGCCTCAACCTAGGCCTGTTTGCTGGCCTTCAGTGCCATCCCACCCCTGGGCAAGGCAGGCTTAGCAAGCTAAGGGAGGCTAGGGGTCACAAGGCCATGCAGCATGAGGCTGAGACGCCGGGCTGCCTTGCCAAGTGAGTTGTGTGGCTCAGCCTGCAGGAACTGAAAAGCTTTTGGCGCACCTGGGCCATAACAGAGCCCATGTGGTCCCGAGTGATGGGGTCACTGTGGTCCAGGTGCATCACGGCCTCTTCCAGGTAGCTGGGGATAGTGGGGAAAGAACAGGCTACAGGTGGGTACCAGCAGATGGGAGCGCCCCCTGGTGGCACTGATGCCCAGAGGGAACCCTGGGGTGAGAGCAAGAGGGGATTGGTGAAGAAAATTAGGGAGGAGATTCAGGCAGAAGTGGGCGTCAGCTTCAAACTGCTCCCTCCCACGATCCCACTCCGCAGCTCATCTCCCTGCCCCTGATTGCCCACACTTACCTGAGCTTGAGGTCAGTTCGAGTGCCAAGGTCAGATGCCAGCTGCTGAATGAGGGAAAGGAGCACAGGCTGGGAGAGTGGGCAGGGTGGCTGCCCAAAAACCTGGGCTGGGTCCACAGTTTCACACACATAACAGCACTAGGCTCAGGTCAGCAGCTGTTAGGGCCTGGAGGAGAAAAAAGCAGCAGCATTCATAATGAACATCAGGATGGAATGTCTGCTCGTCTGAACTGTGTGGCCTGGGGGCAGATGACCACAGGGTGGGCTAGGGAGAGCTCCAGAGGGCCCAGAGAGAGCCCTGTAGGGCCATGTAGTTACCCTAGGGTATCAAGAAATGGTTCCTGAGAAGAGTAGTTGTAAAGCAAGGTGGGCTAGGTGGGAAGAAAGGGGTCCAGGAAAAGGAAGCAGCAGGGACAATGGCCTGGAGGCCAAAGGGAACCAAGAACACCCTGCTGGGGCCAGAAGGTAGAAAGCCTGATGGGTGGAGTGCAATGTATGATGTGTGCGCCTTGTCAAGAGACACATGACCCTTACCAGGGCCTAACACCTATCATACCTGCTGGAAGGCCTGATTGAGGTGGCCCTGCTGCAGGCAGCTGGAGGATATGGGCTTGCTGGGCCTGGCAGTCAAGGTGGGCAGAGGGGGACAGGTGTGCCAGCAGCTGAACGCATGGCCTGCATGATGCTGGAGGTGACAGCGGCCTGCTGCTCCTTGAGCGCCACACTCACCTCACCCTTAACAATGCGTTGTACCTGTGCTAAAATGGACTCCTGCAAGCTGCAAAGGTAAGTGAGTGAGGTGAAGTGGACAGGGAGCCCAGTCTGGCCTTCCTCAAACCCACCACTCTGCCCACACACCTGCCCACAGCCACGTGCAGCTGGTGCTGCACCTCAGCCCGAACACTGCTGGCAACAGTGGCTGCCATCTGCTCAGTGGCACTCTGCAGTGTGCTGACCAGGCCCCGCAGCTGGGCCAGCACAGGCTCCCTGGCCTCCTGTTCCCGTGCCTTCCGGCTCTTCATGTGGCTTTCTAGCTGCTGCAAGTCTGAGGGGTGACCACAGGGAGTGTAAGAGGAACAGTAGGAGAAAAGCAGAGGATAGTCGTTCCCACCTTGGGCCATATGACCCCACTCACATTCCTGTGTCCCCACCCGGAAGCTATCATTGATTTGCTGGAACATGGCCTGGCAGCTCTTCTCAAAGGCTGGCAGCACCACACTCTGGAAGGCTTCTCGGTAGGCAGCCTGCATCGGCCCCTGTAATGTGTCTGCAGCTGCTCGGGCAATAGCATCAGTCAAGTTCTGGAATTAGAGGGAGGGGCCAAGTTGAAAGCCTGAGCACAGCCTGGCCTGACTAGGCCAGAACCACCACCTCCACCCACATCTTGGGCCCTATAGCACCTTGGACTTGAGCAGTTTAGAGATGTTCTCTTTCATGCTGCCCTCCACAGCTGTGAGCTTGGTGGCTACAGAGTTGCTCAGTTGGCCTGCAACAGGCTCCAGACTCCTTGAGACACCTGGGAGAGTGGAACAGGAGAAGGTGGAGCCAGGAGTAACTTGACAGGTACCTCTACTCCCACCTGAACCACCCAAAGGGAGTCAGTATGCAAAACTCACATGGAGGGACTGTCTTCTTGATCTCATCCCGTAAGCTGCGTTCCAGCCGCCCAGCTACAGCTGAAGACAGTGCCTGGGACAACTGTTGTGTCAGCTGCTCCTGCAGCTGCCCTCCCCGCTGCTGCCCCTCAGCCAGTGCTCGCTCCAGCCGCCGCTCTGCGCCATAGCTAAGGAACAGGCCTGGAGCAGGTTGTGTACTCCTTCCCAGGCCAAGAATGCTGCCCCCATCCCTATGCCATATTGTGCTACCAGCCTCAAGGATACGCTCCTGCTCATGCCGAGTCTCAAGGGCACGTTCTACGTGGCCTGTGACGGTGTTCTGTAGACCTTCGAGCTGGGTACACAGACGCTGCAGCAGCTCTTCTTGGCTGTGCTGCAGCTCTGCCAGCTCTCTCTGCTGTTGCCAAATTAGCGTTGGCCAGTCCTCAGGGGGCTCTGCCACCTGCCAGTAGCACTGAGAGTTACATGATGCCTACCCCACCCATCCCCACAAACCAGACTGGGAATGGCCCAGAGTCCTTCCCCATCCTCACAGGGTGAAATTCCCATGAGTACAAAGTGCGCTCATTCACTTACCTGGTGCTCTGTGAGCCGGGATCCCATGGCCGCATCCCTGCCATAGGCGAGAAGCACCTCAGGCTACGTCAGGCAACCTGGAGATCACCCTCCCCTATCCCTAGGACTCCTCCCTACCCATCATCCTTCTTGCTTTTCCTCTTGAGCTTGGGTGAGGCTCGAGGGGATCCCTTGGTCTTCCAGTCCTTGGCAGGCAGCCGTGGAGCAGGAACTTTGGTGCCAAAGCTTCCTGAAGCAGAGGCAAGGCTGGCCACTTCATCATCGTGATCACTATGGGAAGGGGAAGGAGGGGTAAGCCCCTACCCACTTGCTGCTCACCCCCACCATGAGGGCAATGGCACAGGGTGGCATCCACCTTTGCTCAGCACTGGCATCCTGGCTGTCACGTTGCTGCAGCAGGTGATATGGTGGTCGGTGGAAGGCCAGGCTCTTGTGCTTTTCCTGAAGGCCATTCCTGGGGCTAGAGGACAGGCTGACTCAGCAGTGGATGATTCTATCTGAAGCCCCTCCTAAAGCCTCCTCCTAGCTAGCACACTTTTCTCCTCCCAAGCTCCTCACCTTTCTGCAAGAGTGCTGCAGGTCTCACGAGTAATGTCAGGTGCTGTGGGCCAAACCTGACCGTCAGGGGTTGAGGCCTCCTGGGTCAAGGCTGCCTCCAAGAGGGAGGGGGTATTATGCCGATCTCCATCCCCAGGGCCTCCATCGAGGCCAAGCTGGGGGCCGAGCTCGGGCCCTGGCCGGGGCCGTGGGGACAGTAGGTGCAATGCTGAGGCAGCTGAAGCCATACTGTCTGGCTCAAGGCCCTCTGATGCAGAGGAGCCAAAGCCACGGGACAGGGCCTCAGACGCAATCTCAGGGATGTCCTGGGACAGGGCAGTGGAAGCTGAGGAGATGACATCAGGAGAGCGGGTACGGCTCGGGGAGGCTTGGGGTAGCCCCAGGGGCTCCACTTCCTGCAGCTCCAAGGAAAGTGCAGAGGCAGCAGTAGGCACCTAAGGTGGGCCAAAGATGGGGGCTTAAGTGACAGGTGAGGCAGGGATGGGGGACACAGAGACGAGGCACTAGTATTAGTAGTAATGAGAGACAGGGAAGCAGGGAAGTGGGGATAGTCAAAAACGGGGCCATAGCCCAGAAGAGGAAGTGGAGACAGGGAGCTGAAGAGAAACATTCCAGGCAACACAGGAGGGTGAGATGACCTCAGGTAAACATGGACTACGTAGGGAAGAGCAGGACCAGCAGCAGGGGGCTGGGAGAAGCCCACCACCCACTTTTCCTGCTGCCACCCATCTGCTGCCCATACCTCACACACACCCATTCATATACCTGGCTCGGCCCCTTGGGAGTCAGTTTGTCAGCTGGGGCTGGGAGCAGGCTGGGCAGGAGGCCACGCGGGCTTGCCTGCAGGCTGCCACTGCTGCTCATTGCCAGGCTGCCATCCAGCTGCAGCTTGGGGCTCAAGGTCAGCTCCTCAGATGGCCTGGTGGAGGAAGACTGAGGTGTCAGCAGCCAGAGCTTGGCGTCACCTGGCACCAGCCCCTGCCATTCTCCATCTCTGACCCTTGCCTCACCTGGCCAAGGAGGGGTCCACAGCTGAGGTGCTGCTCATGGCAGACACAGCTGTAAGGGAGCTGCTGCTACTGCTGCTGCTGCTGCTGCTACCACTGCTGCTGCTGCTGGGAGAGGCAGTGATCTGGGGAGATGCAGGGAATGAGAGCTGTGGCCTGTGGCTGGGGCATTCCCAATTCCCCCTACCCTGGGAGAGTACCTGCTGCAGAGAGGCGCTAGGTGTCATGAAGGCATCAGGTGTCATCAACTTGGGCTTGGTCTCACTACTTAGACTGAGGAAGTCGGCAGGTGCAGGCAGCTCCACGATTCGTCGGAGGTCAGGCTGGGAGCCGTGAGCGGCTGACCCCAGGCCCTCAGAGCCCAGTTCAGGCCGAGACTCTCCAAATGCTGCAGGGCAAGTTGCCACTTGAGTCAGATCTCAGACCCTGGTCAGTCCAACTTACCCTACCTCCCTCTCTCTCCCTACTCACTAAAGTCCTCGTGGGCAGTGTGCGTGGGGAGTGGGGCGACTACATCAGGGTTCAGCTGTGGCTGGAAGCGAATCTGCACATCTTGCAGTGCCCTGCAGGAAGAGAAGGAGAATAGAGTGCTCCAAGGGCCAGGGTCAGTAGAGTGGAGACAGACAGAGATAAGGCACTGGTGGGCCTCCCCAAATACTTACTTAGTATGCACACAAAAGAGCTTGATGAGCACACCAGCTGCAGACTCCATGGCACCGGCTCCATGGGTACCATCTGAAAGAACATTGTGGATGATTAAGCCCCTGGGCCTCTCTCTGCCTCCACAACCCCCTAGGATATGGACACATAGCTCTGACCCTGAGGCAGCTTACCAGCACCCAGGCTGTCATTCTCCTCCTCAGCGGGCAGCACCTCAGTGTGCCGCAGCCGGCAACGACTCACAACCTGGATACCAAAGCTTAGCACAGGGTGGGTGAGCAGGAACTCCGAGATGGAGCTGAAGTAGGCACGGCCCTCCTCCTGGTTCTGTAGCAGCTCCATCACATAGAGGACCTGCATAGGCAGCATGTTCCTAACTGAGAGGCTAAGGGCTGCGGATGTACCCCCTGCCCTCCGCCATCCCCTATATTCCCAGCTCTGCCCAGGGTACCCCATGGTAGCCTACCTTCCGTTGCACGTCACTGAGAATCAGATATTCTGCTGAGAGATCCAAGCAAACCTTGAGGCTAGGGGGCACACTCACTGAGCTAAAGATATCTGGGGAGAAGCTAGGGAGCCACAAAGCAGAGTGAATGAGGCTAAGGACTCCAGGAACCCATATTCCCAATCCTGCTGCCCCTGCCCAGTTCCCCAGCCTCCCAGTCCTTGCTAACCGAATAGTCTGCAGGCAGGTCCAGGACACTGTGCACCACATCTTTAGCTCCCGGTTCTGGTCAGCACCAGTAATAAGGAACCTCCAGAAAGGGACACTGCAAGACAAAAAGGCACTGAGTGGCTGGCTGGGCCCCTGCTGGGAGCCATGGACCAGCCAGCCCACCACCCACTTGGCTGCCCACTCACTCACTCGGGGTCTTGTTTCTTATGGTTGTCACAGAACAGAAGGCAGGAGAGGGGCCGCCCATCATGAGGCTTCCACTCATGCAGACACCTGTAGGTAGGCAGATGAGGGGCGTAAGTAAGCAGTCTGGTCTGCTACCTGAGGGGGATCCTGGTCCCTCAGGCCCTGCCTTACCTTGGCTCATCTTGTCCCTCAATGTAGATCTGCCAGAACTTGACATAGCCATCATGGCTCGCAGTAGCCAGCACAGTCCCATCAGGGGAGAGGGCTCCTTCACTGAGGCACTAGGAAGAACCCAAAAAACTTTACTGACTAGAGGTGAGAACGAGCCCCTCTCAAGTGAGGATGGTAATGAGCTGGGCTGACTCATGGTTGGACTTGCATGGTTGTGTGACTGAATGAATGAACAGGGTCCCTAGAGAAGGCCAGACCTGCGGGGTGCCGCTAGGTATGGAGAAAGCTGCACAGGCGAGAGCCACTTTGAGCTCAGAGTCCCCATGGGCAGAGTGCCAGCAAAGCTGCCTGGGCAGCTGTGGATATAGGGAACAGAGGATGGATATGAGGAAGAGGGGAGGGCAGGGGAGGCAGGCAGTCACAGGCTTACCGTGCTATGACCTTTTACCACAATGAAGCCCTGCTTGATCTGGCTGACATCCACAGGCCAGGTGCTGTGGCTGGAGCGGAGCATGTCCAGGTCCCACACTTCAGCCTGGAAGGCATAGGGAGGTGAATGTGCAGCCCATGCCTACACTATGGCTTCTGTGGCGCCTCCTCACCATGCCAGCCCCCTTACCCGGTCTTCATGCAGCAGGGCCACTGTCGGGCTGCTCTCTTCACAGCAGTCCTCGCTCTCCTCAGGGATGAAGGGACACCAGATGATCCTGCGGAAGTGGTTCAGTGGCGTGCCCTCTGGCTGCCGGATATGGACCAAGATCTCTTCTCTGAGCAGGGTGTTAAGGGCTAGACAAGTGAATGAAGAGGCATGACAGCCCCAGCTCCGCCCACCCTTCTTCAGTCCCACTACCCCACACCAAGGAATGGATACTGAATTTTGCCATTAACCAGAGCCAAGCGCCACACGAACAGGTTGCCTGCCTCATCCAGGCAGGCCAGCTGTGGAGAGTTGAGGTGCGCGAAAGCCAGATCAGCCACACTGCCTGTAAAGCCCTTGAGCAAGATCCGCTCCGAAGTGCTGACACTGATCACCCGCACCATGGCGGAGCCATTGTTGGCAGCTAGAATCAGGAGAGCAGTGGACCATGAGTGCATATCCAGGCTCAGGCAGCAGCAGAGAAACCCTGCCCCTGCCTGTCTCCCTGCCACCACCATAGTCTCAAGCTTGGTTTTCCCACCCAGCTCCCCAAGAGGCAGCATGGACAAACCTTCCGTTGTACCCCTAAGGCCTGAGTGGCCTGATGTTGGAGCTGGCTCTATGGGACATCCAGCAGAATATTCCCTCCTCTCCACTGTCCTTACTCACCCCGAATGGCATAGGCCAAGAAGGAGTTAGACACAGCAATCAGGTTGCCATAGTAGTACTTCTGTTCCCAGTCATACTTGGCGACAGGCTGAATTTTCACCTGAGAACCCAGGGTGAGAAAAGTCATGGAAGCTGAGGGCTGGGGTAACTTCCCCAGAACCTAGGTGGTCCCCAACATCCCTGGAGATGGGAGAGGACATAGGTGCAAGTCCGGCTACCCACTGTTACTTCCTGGAGCCAGACTCCCACAGAGGCTTGGCATCCAGCCCTGGTTTCCTGAAACTGGGAAACTGCCAAGGTGGTCCCTATAGGAACTGGCAGTATGAGGGAGACCAGAGAGACTGGGTGTGCCCCCACATATTATATATGCCACAGCATCCTAGTACCTACCTTGTTGCTTCCCCGGGCCTTGCTTGAAATGCTAGAGTCACTGCTGGCCACAATCTCCACCTCCTTAGCCAAAATCCCAATGCAGGTAGAGCTATCATCTCCTGAGAGACAGCTGTAGGGAAGAGTGCAAAAACTTTGTCTCTTGTTCACCCAAAGGCTCAATGGGCAGGGTTGGAAGCAAAGACATAGCCAGCCTGATGAAGGTATCTAGTCCAATGCTCAGCTTTGCCTGGTCCCTGGCTCCAGACCCATAGAACCCCTCGCTCAGCCCCTTCCTTGGGAAGGAGCCTACTTTCATTCTAAACCAGATATCCAGGCCAAACCCTTGAGCTTGTCTTTGCCTCTCATCATAGTGCAAGCTCAAGCTCCACCCCAGGTCATCTAGAGAGGGAGCAGCAGAGGCTGGTGGCCCCACTCACCCATCTCATGCCTTTAGCTAGCAGACACCCGAAACATACCATCACCACCACTGTCATCTTCTAGATACTCACATGACCTGCTTCTCTTGCAGGCTAATGGGTGGCATGGTCCGAAAACCAGTCTTGTGTGTTGAGGTACCATCACCTGAGCAGAGGGGGTCTGGGACCAGAAGCCCATTGAGGTCCCCATTGTAGGCATTGGATGGCCGTGGGCTCTCTGCACTGGGGCCTGGGGACAGAGAAGGTCACTCTGATAAGGTTGCTCGACCTGCCCGCAAACCTCTCCTCTTGCAGTTTCCTTCCAGAACTATGAGGTGCTCTAGGAACACTAGACTGAGCAAAGCATGTCCATGAGGAGGGGGGCCCTGTATCCAATTCTCATTCCATAAACACTGATGTATGCGGGACCAAGGATGAGCATGAGGCTATTCTACCTGCAGGAGGGGTACAAGCCATCAAAGACCCTTTGAGGCCAGTTCACACTTAGGCCCTGGTCAGTATAGAATAACTCTGTGGACTCTGAGTGAGGGCACAGCAAGGGTCAGGAAAGACTTCACTGAGTAGGCAGTGTGGCCAGAACACACAAACACAGCAAGGATGGAGGGAAAACAAAGCTGCAGAGGCCTCAGGTATGATGCTGTGGCACTTAGACTCTGCCTATGGGCCATGAGAACCACAAAGAATTTCAAAGGGGAAGGTGATGTGGCCAGCTCTGGCCAGTGGGATGATTATTCTAAGGTAGCATGCAGAATGGTTGAGAATCTGGGTGAAAAAGATCGAGGCCTAGATCAAGGTAGTGTCAGGGTCTGGAGAGAAGATGGACTCCTAAGGCATGTGAGGGGCTGCCCCATATAGAAATGGCTCAGAAGAAGCTAGTTTGGGTAAGAAAACTCAAGAGGCAGGGACATAAAGGAGCTTGACCAAAAGGAGAGAAACTATAGGGCAGAGTGTGGCGTCAGAAAAGATAGCATTTCAGTTCTTTGCAACTGGCTGGGTTTCAAACAGGCTCATAGGCTTAGACACCATTTCCAAAACCCCCAGGTGGCAAGAACCTAGGGCTCCACATTCAGGAACATAGAAAGTTTCCAGTCTTTGAGTTCTTTTTTTTTTTTTTTTTTTTTTTTTTTCTTTTTTTTTTTTCAGAGACGGAGTCTTGCTTTGTCACCCAGGCTGGAGTGCAGTGGCGCGATCTCGGCTCACTGCAACCTCCACCTTCTGGATTCAAGCGATTCTCCTGCATCAGCCTCCCAAGTAGCTGGGATTACAGCTCAGGTAATTTTTATAGACAAGGTTTTACCATGTTGGCCAGGCTAGTCTTGAACCCCTGGGCTCAAGCAACCCACTCACCTCAGCCTCCCAAAGGACTGGTATTATAGGCGTGAGGCACTGTACCTGGCCCTCAATAGTCTGAGTTCGGACCTGGTCCTCCAGTGAGAGGAGACAAGAAAGAGCTCCTTGGCAAACAAGGGAATCAAGTGCCCATCAATAAACAAAGGAGTTATAAAGAAAGCATCCAGGCCACTTCATTTGGATCAGAGCCACTTTAAGCTGCTCAGGGACAAGCTGACCACTCTGCCTTCCAGGAAGGCTACCATGAGGACAACCAAAAACAAGGCCCAGGCTGTACATGTTTGGCCATGCCAGGCTCTACCAAATCTCTGCAGAGTCTAGTCTGCAACTGCTGAGCAGCAGGAGAGGTCTACGCCCGACTCATGAGTAAAGAAGGCACACACTCCAGGGCTGGGGCAAAGGGCCGGGTCTCAGGCACCAGATGGATTTTCTGAAAGTAGAGATTAGTTGAATCCACCCTTAGTGAGCACCACTGCCTTCCAGAAGCAGCCAGTCTGGGCCTCCCAGCAGGTGTAAGAACAAGATCTGAGGAAATATTAGTTCGCCACTGCACACCCACACCACCATCACCAGCCACTTCAGAGATTCCCAGACCTGTCAGTAAACCACTGCCTGCATACGTGCTATTTCCTCTTTGTAATAGGTGGCTTCTACATAGGTGCCTTGAGTGCCTTTCCTGACACCCAAGCCCTTGTTCACATTACAAGACCTAGCCCAGTCTCCCCTCTCAGACCTGCACTCTGCATTCATCAGCCTCCACCCTTCCCATGCGCATCACAGTATCAAGACACTCCTTTCTTTCAATGACAACAGTATATTACAACCCTGTTAGCTCTCTGTGTCTTGGGAGATCTTTGGAAGCAAGACTAGTTCTTAGGTATCACTAAGAACTAAAGTGAAACATGAATGAATGGAAACCAATTAGGGCTTGCAGATATTTGTAGCTTAATTCAGTCAGGGTGGTGCGGTCTGTGATTTGCCTTCATCCCCAAAAGAACATGGAACTGAGTCTGGACACCTTCCTCCTGGAAATCAGTTTCAGAACGGGAGGCCCGGAGTCTATTCCAGAGGGAAGGGCAAGTTATGGAGGGGGACTGGCGGCTCTTCATCACCGCGATTAAGCCTAGGCCCAGAATTCCATATACGGAGCCCAGACAAGGCCTCTGAACCATGGCGAAAGCTAAGAGACGCCAGGCCGGTCCCAGGAACACTAGAGACCTCGGGGCCAGGAAACCAGAGGGGCCCAGCGGATTCAGAGAAGGGGCCTCACCTTCAACTGACATGCTGAAGGACGAGGCAGAACAGCCTGAGGACAGGATAGGGAGGGGTCACACCCAGAGGTCTGCGCCCTTCGAGGGGGGCAGTGAAGGAACTCCGACCTCCGTCCACCCTTACCCGCTGAGAGGATACAGAGCTGGTCCTAAAAGAGCTGTAGGCTCTAAGGGCGGTTCAGACGCTCGTCGCCCTTTTGTCAGCTCGTCTGGGGCCCACCCCCACAACCCTCGCTCACCGCCCGCAGGCCGGTCCAGCTTGAGGATGTCCCGCAGGTGCTGCGTGGCGTCCTCGATGTCGATGCTCGCGCAGGAGGCCATGGGCCCAGCGCTGGGGGCCCCGCCCGCACCGCGTTCGTTCCGCCGCCGCCGCCGCGCACCACCCACCCTCGCCCACCCGCGACAGGGCGAGACAGCCGGACGCCGGTCGCTACACTCAGTCCACCCTCAGTTCTCAAACCGCTGCCCGCGCAGCGTCCCTCAGCCCCGCCAACCCCACCAACCGCCTCCACTTCCGGCCCCTACAAGCCGAGGCTCCCGGAACCTGCCAGGGCCAGAAAAGAAAGGTTCCGGCCTGGAGGCGGATGCCTAAACCCCTCCCGCAGCCCGTCCCCTTCTGCGGCCCCGCCCCTGTACTCGAGGGGTCAGGGAAGTTCCGCAGGGCTGAGGTAAGCGTCCATGCATTGGGCCACCCAGAGCCCCACTCTACTCAGAAACCGCCTGGTCCCTGCCCACTCTCAGAGCGTGGACTCTGATGGTCCTAGGATGGAGTCAACTCAGCCGCCCATGCTAAGGTCCCTCAGACTCCCGAAATAAGCTGAATTGGCAGAGCCTCAGGTTCCTTTCAGGGAATGGGTGGTAATAAGTAACTCAAGGCCTGAGACGACCGTCCAGGCCATAAAACCCAGGAATTGCAAAAGCAGGGGAGATGGTCCCACCACAATAATCAGTCATTTTTCCCTACTATCTGCCCAGCACCCCCTTGTCCCACCTGACACCCTCAGGTTGGAAGAAAGAAACCACAGTTTACAAATTCCTCTTTATTGCAGACAGTTCAGGCACAGGTACATGGAAGAAGCTGTATTGCAGATTTTATACAGGGTGGTTTGAGGCAGCAGGTACCTACCTCTTCCCCACCCCCACTTCCCCAAATACACACCAGCCTAGAGATCATTCCCTGAAATCTCCTGAGCATGCTGTCCTCTCAAACAGCACACCATCCAGCCCTGTACCCAGTGTTGCCAGGCAACCTTTGGGATTTGAGAAGGTCCTTAGCCTTCAACCATAGTGGAAGAGGGGAAGGGTATCCTTTTTACAGGTCAGATTTAGCTGTGGTATTCTCACAAATCCTAAAACCCCTAACAGGGCACTGACCCAAATCCTAGGTTTGGTTCTAGCCTATGGTTGCTACATTGCCACTCGGTTTATACCATCCAGAGGTCTGTGGGCTGAGGGGCTAGATTTATACTAGGCAAGGCCTTTGTCCCCAAAACAGAGAAACAGAAACTGCCCTAATAGCTAAGACTTCCTGGGATTTGAAGATAGCATGAAGTCTGTATGCTGAGGAAGTAAGAGAGGCCTGCAATGTCCTACAGAGGTCTGAGGGTTGAGGACTCCTAAAGCATTAGTCTCTCACACTCAAGACTGCCTCCTTCCATAGCTCCTGACCTATACTCCAACCCAACTGGGCCTGGCTCTGTGGGCAGTGGAAGCTGGCTCTGCTGGGTACTGGCCTTTGTGTAATGCTATCCAAAGCAGGTGGGACAGGAGTTGAGCTGCCCTCTGCCTGGTTTGGTGTATGTGGGGCAACCTGGATATGATCCTGATCCTCCTGGGGATATACCAGGCCTCTCCCTTCATATTGCTGAGACCTCAGCCCGGGGGGCCTCTCCAGCTTCAAGAGGATTCAGGATCATCTCTCCTGCTGCTAGAGCCCTGAACCTACCCAGAGCAGAAGTCACAGGAGGTATCAGAACTGACTGCACAGGCTTCAGTGAAAGAAGCTTCAGGCGAGACCTGAGCTCTCCCTGCCTGCTTACCCAGGACCAGTTGCCCTACGGGGAGGGAGGAACTGCCCTGCGGGGCTTCTGAGAGGCTAGCTGGGAGTGCTGCTTCAGCAGTTTCTCCCTGCAACAGGTATTCAGACTTGGGGCAGAAGTGGGAGGGTGAGACATGAGAGAGACAATGGGTCAAGGTGGCTTTTGATGCCCAGCCAACTAGTAAACTAATTAAAACAATTTAAACTGTTAAGAAAATTTTTGTGGTTTTATTGTATCATGAGGCATTGAAACATCTGAACAAATCAACGTCTGGGCGGTGAGGCAGCTGCTTTCTCCTTCACGTCTTTGGGTTACTAGAGCAACTTGTCAGTAGATTAAAAAAAAAAGGACAACCTTTTGCATTACTTAAGTCTTTCCAAGGCATGCGCTGGTACAACACAAACTTCTCCCATCAGATGCAACTATTCTAGCATCCAAACATCATGCACAACACCTTGGTGGCAGCAGCGCACTGCGCCCACTCCCGCCGCGGCCCTGCTCATTTGTGCATGACATTTGGAGCATCTGGAGGAGTGGGAATAGTATTGGGAAGAGGAGGGAGGAGGAAACAGCGTGAGTGCCTGGCTGAGAGAAGGTCAGCCAAAGTTGTGCAGGGCAAGCCTAAACATGTCATTGGTGCAAACCCAAGCATCATTGATGTTCTTTAAGAGGAACATCTGGTGGAATCCCATGATGGGGTCTTCATCCGCCTGTGAGGAAAGAGAAGAGAAGAGGATTCAGTAAGGGAATCAAGGAACAGGAAGAGAGTTCAGTTGTAGGGGAACAGAGCAAAAAAATGTGGACTTTGGGATCAGGCCCTACTGTCCTGAACTCAAATCCCAGTATAGTCAAGGAGTACTTGTGAATATGAATTGATATAATGTACGAAGCAATGCCCTGGGCACATGAAAGCCAACAGTCAAACACACCTACTGCTATGTGTGCTTAAACTACACAATAATTCACCCTTAGCTATAGCAAAGAGCAGAGGATGCATATGCCTCCAAGCACATATCTTTGGGCATAAGTGATCACAATTATGAAACAAATCCCATAGTATTTACTAAATAACTTAGAGTATCAAAAGAACTGCAAACAATCTTGGAAACATAGGTTCACCATCCGATGATGTTTCCTATCATGTAATAAAACAGTATTTTCAATGAAAATGGGAAAAAAAAAAAAAGGCAAGAAACCTGAAGCTAAACTGCAGAAATCCAGAATGAAGCCTAGTTAAAACAGGCCTAGCTAACCAGCACTGACTCTAACAATCACCTGCTTTCTGGGAATTATCCTCAGCAAGGAAACAAATCAGTTGTTTCGCAGCTCCGATTTGGAGAGAATCACCAGAAAGAAACTGAAGCCAGGTAGGAAGGAGCAGTGCTTACTACCCTAGCCTGAGAAAGTGGGCACTGAGCTCCCTACAGAGACCTCCTGAATTCTGTGCCTGTTCAGGCACAGGCTCTGAGCAGGACATCTTGGACAGGCAGGAGAAACTGAAAGGAAAGTCCAGGCCAGAAGGCAGGTGTCTCTGCGTCCACTGCAGAGGCCTACAGGACCACCTACACACCCATTCTGGACTCAGGAAGCTGTGCCCCAGCTAGCCTACAGAGAGTGAGTGTGTGACCATGTTATCATGAGACACAAGTCCAGGCTGAGGGGCAGCCAATTTGTCCTGCTTTTTTTGGGGGAGGAAGAAGGAGCTTTTTGAAAACAGAATCTGGCTTTAATATGCTGAAACACAACAGGTGCTCGGAGAGTTCTTGGGGGATCTGAGGGACCACAGGAAGTCTTTGAGAATAAAAGGATTTGAGAAGGGAAAAGGAAAATGCAAAGAGAAATAGGAATTCCAGGCCGGGTATGGTGGCTCACCCCTATAATCCCAGCATTTTAGGAGGCCAAGGCAGGTGGATCACCTGAGGTCAGGAGTTCAAGACAAGCCTGGCCAACACTGTGAAACCACCTCTACTAAAAATACAAAAAATTGGGGGCGAGGGAAAAAGGAAAAAAATAAAAAATTAATAAAATAAAGAGAAAAAATAAGATTTTTTAAAAATAAAAAAATAAAAACAATTAGCCAGGCATGGTGGCAGGTGCCTGTAACCCTAGCTACTCGGGAGGCTGAAGCAGGAGAATCACATGAACTCAGGAGGCAGAGGTTTCGGTGAGCCAAGATTGTGCCATTGCACTCTAGCTGGGCAACAAGAGCAAGACTCTATCTCAAAAAAAAAAAAAAGAAAAAAAGAAAACTAGGAGTTCCAGGAATCTGCTTTGCTCAGCAGGTGAGGAGCCAGCAGCCAGCTTGAGGAGTGGCAGCAAGGGCTGCAGTAGAGGACTGCCTCTCAGCACCCAGCCGGCCTGTCCACTTTGACCTTGGGGCAGAGTAGGAGCCTAGTGGTTTGGTATCCCAGTCCCATTCTGCTCCTATACCTCTCCCTTTTCCAGATAACGGCTCTAGACCAGTATCTGCCAATAGGATGTTCTCCGGCCACAAAAATGTTCTATATGGCTAGCACAACCGAAGAAGTATGTTTTAATTTTATTTAATCTTGATTAATGTAACTTAAAAATTGCAACCTACATGTGGCTAATGCCTAGTGTATTGAACTATGCAGCTCTAGACAGTCATTTTGTCTGAGTGTCCCTAGATAAGCAGGTCACATCACAGGGAAAGCAGGGGCACAAGGCTCTCCCTCTGCGGCAGCACCATTACCTTAAGCTGGCCCACAACCATGCTGATGATGCAGCTATCTGGCGTGGGCTGATGGTCCTGCGCCGTGATGCTGTGCTGGATTTTCTGGAATGGAAGGCTCTGCAAGACAGAGAGTAGGAGGTAGGACAACCAAGGCCAGGAATGGGAAAACAGCCAACTGCACCCTGGTTTTCACCCCTACTTACAGACAACTTCTCCACAATGGCAGCTTTCCCCTGGAACTGTTGTCCTTCCCACGTAAGGCATGACGCGTCAATCTGAAAAACGCACAGGAAACCCCAGGGTTGGGGCCTAAAAGCACAAGTAACTCCAAGGCCCTGGAAAGACTATGAGAAGGGCCTTGTTTGGAGAAATGTGGCCACACTTCAGTTTCCCTGTCTGTAAAGAGGGGAACTGAATATAGTCGCCAAACTTATACTATCAACCTCTTTAATTATATCCCATTGTCTCATGGGTCTAGGCTCTGAAAGACTATTTAATAAAATATACTTCTCATTTGTATTTAAAAAGTTATATGGAGGTGGGTGTGGTGGCTCATGCCTGTAATTCCAGCACTTTGGGAGGCTGAGGCGGGCGGATCACTGAGTCAGGAGATTGAGACCATCCTGGCCAACTTGGTGAAACCCTGACTCTACTAAAAGTCATATGCATAGGCCCCAGGGGGGCTACATGTGGCCTGAGCTCAGCCATCCTGCTGTGTGGTCAGTACTGGTCCCAAAAAAGTCATCAGAAATATGGCTGGGCATAGTGGCTCACGCCTGTAATCCCAGCACTTTGGGAGGCCGAGGCTGGGGGATCACCTGAGGTCAGGAG